GAGGTTTTGAGACTAGATTGCTAGAATGATTATATCATCAACAGAAACAGGGATGTTAGGAAAGGAACTGGTTTTAAGGGGGAAATGATGACTGTGATGTGAGACATGCTGAATGAGAAGCAACTGAACCCCAAAGAGGAACATGTTGAGAGTCAGCTAGTATGATAAGGGCCAAGGGCTTAGAAATAAAAAAAAAGAAGCCTTTTGAACTAGAGGTACACCTCAAGCGGTAGAGCACCTGCTTCCCAAGCATGAAGCCCTGAGTTAAAACCCCATTACCACCAACATAAAAAAAAAGAATGAAGCCTTTGGAGATGGAGTCTTTTAAAGAAAATCTCTTCTGTGTCTTTAAGGATAAGAGATAATAGGATGACACATATATAGCACTAGATCAGATCATGTTTATACCATCAGATACTAAGCCAGTTAAGAACTGTTGTTATTCATGTAACACCCATTGTTAAGAGAAAGGACTAGTTAGCAGAAAACCAAGTAATGTGACACAGCCCCCAGATTGCCAAAAAACAAAGTTATAGCTCCTCTCTCTTTTCTACCATCAGTTTTCCTTCATTCTGCTCTCCTTTATGACTTATAATTCTTAACTCTTATTAAAACAATTCATCCTGTTTTCTATTCTCTTCTTTCCTGGCTCTCACCTATGATGGCAGACCCCCACCTCTCCCACAAAGCAAGCTTCAACCTACCCTTTCCCAGCAGCTCTGCATAAAGTATGTAAGCAGATGCTCCCAAGGTTCAGGGTCAGAAATTCTTCCTTATCTGTAAACCCCACCATATTGTCCTCCTTTATTTTACTTTCTAGTTTTTATTAAACTCAATAACAATTACAGGTTATATGTAACCTTTAAACTACTGTGGTTCCAGAAGTCATTAAGGATTCATTCAACAGCAAAAGACACACTGAGATTGGAAGTTTGGTTTTGGACCTGAAATACAGAATTTGGATATACTTGGCAGGGAGGAACCATATTTCTGAATACTTTACTTCAATGCTGTTTGAAGTCCTGATTTCAACCCTCACCAACATCCAACTCCACTTTTAAGTCCCCTATTCGTATTTTCTTATCCCAATGTTGGCTGATCCTATATTTTCTCCTTACTTTTGGGGTAGCAAAGGAGGTAGTAAAAAATAAGACCAAAATAACTTTAAATTTTAAATTTAAATGATAATTTTATCATAGAAAATCCCTTAAATCTCACAGAAGGTTCAACCCTGTACAGTAAGCGTATTATCCACAAATCCATTTAAGATATTCAGGATGGCAGCATCTAGGAAAGTAGAGCATGGAGTGGTGCAACTGATAATTCAGAAAGAAAACATCAGTTGGCTCAATCCTTTTTTGCATTTCTTTTCCCTCAGACCAAAAAAAAATTCCAGAAAGATAATTTGCATAGCAAAATTATAAACACATACACTCCAAGACAGACATACTCTGTTCTAACAATCCTTGCTTCAGATGTTTGACATCATGATGAATGAAAGCTTTGTTTCCCTCAATTTAGTAATCTTAACTATATATAGATAGGTCTAATTATAATCAGAGACATTACTTTGCCTTTGCTAAAATGCTAAAGTAGTAGGATATTTAATTTCTCCCTCCCTTCCTCTCTCTGCCTCCTCAAGTGCTGGGATTACAAGTGTATACCTTCTTTAACTTTCATGCCAAATGCCAATAATAATACCTATTAATTACTGAGTGCCACCTATATTCTGGCACCTTGCTTTGTCATGTGCACACACACAAATAGAGAACTAGTTCATGTAATCCTTAAAAATGAATAGCTGTTACTTCTATCTCACAGCTGAGGAAACTGAGGTATAATGAAGACAGAAAGTTCTGTTCTTCCCCTGGGTTGCAGCCTAAGACAGTAGTAGAGGTGTGGTGTGAATCTAGGTTTGCCTTTAAACTCTGTGCTATAAATAACCTACTCTATAGCCTTGTGCTAAATAAACCATTTTCTCACACTGAAATGCTTTGAACTGAGATTTGGAACTTGATTTTTAGTTATTAGGTGAAAACATTTAGGATTTAATAATGGCCTTCAGAAACAGACTGACAAGCCTCTCCTGGGTCATCTACCACAGAGTGGACAAATTTCCTCTAGAAAGAAAGAACTGCTTCTCATCTCATGACCCTAAACACCAGTTCCATGGCAATCCCAGAGAAACACCATTCTGCTCCAGGCAGAAAAGCCAAGAATTCAAATTCTGTTTAGCACTTTAACTGGTAGCACTGCAAATATGATTCTGACAAGACACAAGTCCAATGTATTAAACCCACCACGATCAGTCAAAATCAGTCTGTATGATTACTATTAGGGACATAATAATGTTTTTTGCCCCTATTAATATATTTAGTGCTAGCTTAAAAGCACTAAATCAGGATTGGGGGTGTAGCTCAGTGGTACCATGGTTGCCTACCTACCAGATATATGGTCCTGGGTTTAATCCCCAGCACAGAAGAAAAAAATAGCAAAGCACAAAATCCATTTGTAATCTATTTAAAAAATTCCAAAGTAGATCAGTAACTTGTCAAAACCAAACACTCAGAAAACTAAAACAAAAATTAACAGTTGCTAGTATGCTCTCCTAAATTTACTTCATTCCCATTAGGTCAAAGTCTTAGAAAAACAAACTCTTAAATAACTACTACTGATTAAGTTTGTAAGTCTGGTTCAAAGATCACAACAACAAAACTGTATTATCCATCCAGCTAATATTTTCTTACAGAATTTTCAATATAGTCACTTAAGATACTGTGGTTTCATATGATACCAGATTTGGAAAATCAAGTTAAAGCAATACAAAAAGAAGCAGACTGTTTATAATTTGATGAGATATATTAAACATATACATAAAAATCTTGTGTATACAGTGTTTTTCTTCACCTAGCATGACCAAAAAGATGTTGAAAAGTTAGAGGAAAGATTTCCAAGACCGAAAAGTGTATAAAACGGGTCTCGCTTATTGTGCCAAATAATCAAATAACATTACTTGCTTTTTCCTTTCTGTTTATAAGGCCCTGGCAATCACCACTACTTTGGTTTCCTTAGTCTCTTACCTTAGTTTATTTTCTGTTCTCTGTTCATGAAATAAGATATATCTTTGGGGGATTTCCTGTTCTGCTTTTAGGTTTTTTTTTTCTCCTCTGCTATTGCTGGGGGCCCATGTCTTACCCTCCTATGGCAATAAACTGTGTTTGCTAGAGAGACCCTCCACAGTTTCTTCTTTGTGCTTCCTCGCTGGGTATCTGGAAACAATCACTGAGTACCAGAGTGGCTCTGAAACCTTGGACCATAACTATTCAAAAATGGTTACCTTCAGGAAGTCTATCTTCAGGAAGTCTACTCAGGAAGGTAAAAGACAACAGTCACTACAATCACTCTCTGTGACTCCAACTCTTTGCATCTTATTGCTTTCAGCTTTGGCTACAGATAACCAGTGTGAGATGGACTTGAGATTAAAAGCAAACAATGCTAAAAAAAAATGCCAAATATTAATACAAGGAAATGCTAGTTCCTAGATGATTAGTGGGGATTCAAAAGACATTAATATCAGGCCAAAATCATCAATATTTTGCACTTGAAGAAATGAAGGTCAATTTACCAAAACCTTCATGGGCATTACAGAAGAGACACTTTTTGGTAGGTACCCATGATGAATAGCTAGAATTTACCATGCCTTTATTCATCCTTATCTCTGAACTTTAAAACTGGCTCTTATTTTTGTACTCAAATTTTGGTAAATGATACTGGTGTTGTAAAACCAATGCACATCATCATATATACAGGTATTAGTTTCCCCTGTGGTAAAAACCCACTATAAAAGAGGGGCTAGAGAGTAATCAAAGGCCACAGGACCAGATTAATCATAAACCTACCCAACTGAACCTGAATTTTCTTCAAACACTTCCTGCCTTTTGTTTCAATATGCAGTACACCTTCAAGGTTAACTGCAGTCTCCCCCAGCAACAGACCAGCCCACCTCAAACTGGGAGATACTGATTCTTAACGGATTGCTATTTATTCACTTAGCTATTCTGCTTCACTTGAAAACAGGCTGTTATTCATTGACTGTCAAACAATATACACTGCATTCCGACCCACACTGGGCCAACTGCAGCGATCCAACACACCCACCTCACTGGGAAACATGACGAATTTTTCCCCTCAGGTTCTCAGAGAAGAAATAGGGTGAAAAGCCACAATAAAACACAACTCCAGCCTAAAAAGAAAACATCACACACACACACCCCCTTAAAAGCTGGGTTCTCCTGCAAGGAATAGGAAGAAATGAGAAGGGGAGGAGGTAGTTTACCATTTCCCTTTCTTCCAGAGTCTAAAACCGTCCCGAAGCAGGGTAGGTTTCGACTCCCCGCGGGAGAACAGAGGATGGAGGGGCTGCAGAAGCCACGCCGAGCATCAGAGAGTGGGGGATGGGAGGCCTGAAAAGGGGGGAAGGGGCTTCCACTATGGCGTGCCGGTCGAGGTCGGGTCTTTGATTTTTGCTTCCATCTACCCCTGTTTTCTTGGGGGAAAACACTGATTTTATCTTAGGGAGAAAAGAGCTCTAGTCCCACCCCAACGAGCAGGGACAGGTGTAGAGAGGGGCGCCTGGCCTTCCCGGGATACAAAATAAAGGTGGGGGCGGCCGCGCAGAGAATGGGAACCTGAGAATCCTCCATCAAGAAGGAGGCGCTGGGCAGGAAGGGCCTTCAAATACGGGGTGTCAGGGGGGAAGGCCCTTTTGAGGGGCTAGGAACTGACGAGGGACAATAAGTAGCTGCGAGGACCCTCGAAGGATGAGAAGCCACCTCCTCGGGGAATACCGGGAGGTGGAGGAGACGGCCCCGCCCCCTCAGGGGACCGGCCCAGCGGCACTTGGGACGGTGGCGGGAGGTCACCGGTGCCACTATCCTCTCTTTTCTCTTGAAAACCCGGCCTCCCCGTCCCCGCCAAGCCCCAGCACCAACAGCTCCTACCTTTTCACGGTGCTCCGGCATCCGCTCCCAAGCCGCCTCCGCCACCCGCTCCCCATCCACAGTCTTCAGGAGCCCCGCCCACTCAACCGCCGGCGGGGGCATTGGCACTCACCAGAGCCAATCGCCACCTCGTCTCTGCAGTGCCGGCCCCAATCCGCATCGGCCGGAGGAGGGGCTTCTCCAATGTCATTCAGGCTCCTCCCGGGGCCCCAAGATCCCTTTTGTTTGGAGAGAGCCAGGCTGGGATTGAGCTCGCGTCACTTCCGGGGGGAAGCGCCCTCCTCCAGCGGGGGCTTGAGGCTGGGCTCGAGCCCTTGGCGACTTGGGTTCTCCAACTTTCCATCTCCTGTGAGGGCGTCTTTTACCCTGATTATACTATAGGAATGGCGGGGCTTCTGGTGGTTTGACTGATTGAGATTTCATCAAAATATTAATAAATGTTGTTGAATTTTGGTGTCTGCTTTAGAACTAGTTGTTGAAAATCTGCTAGCGTGACTAACTCGCCCCCTCTTTTTTTTTTTTTTTCCTGGACCCGCCTGTGGGTGTGGTGCTGGAAACAAGGGTGCAAAGATGGAGCACCCAGAGACCACGGTTCTCTGTTCACTTTATGTGCTGGAGTCCTTGCATAGCATCCGGAAGGCTTACAGCCTGCTAACCTGCTTTCCAGGCAGAAGTCAAATAATCGCAATTTGTGTGTCATTTTTCCACACTTTTCTTGCCAAATTGAGGGGACTTTTTTGTGTCCTTGGCCCCATTAAACGGTGGGGCTGTGGCGTTTGTAGTGACAGTTGGATGCAGGAATGTCTGATCTTGTGAACACAGGAATGCAGATCTTACTGGTGATGGTGAGTCCTAGGCAGGGCTAAGTAACCCAGAGGGAAGAGGATACAGTCTTACCTGGGGTCATATTTTCTGGTTTCCTTTTCCACAGGCTGTACTTCAGCTCACAGATTGATTCAGCTGGTTAAATTAGTAATAACTGCATTGTTTTAAATAGAATACAATAAACACAACAAATATAATGTAAGGTATTACTTTTAATGCAATATTCCTAATCTTAAACAATTATTATTAGCGAGACAGTATTAGGAACCTAGACAAACACAGTCCTCAAGGCAAATGCAGCCTGCCCTCATGAAGTTTACAATTTGGTGGAGAGATGTCAGCCAGTACAGTCATAGCTGGAAGGCAATAAGCACTATTATGTCATCACTGGGCCATCAGTACTGTTTGAGAAATCTGTTCCACTCTGAAAGGTAGATATCACTGTGTCCACTTTACATACGAGAAGATAGAGATTCAGAGAAATCAAGTGAAATCATGGAGCTAATAATAGAAAAGAAGGAACTTCCAACAAGGACATGCGACTCCAAACCGTGCAGTATTCTGCTTACCACATACTGGCTCTCACCAGGACAGCGATCCAGAAAAGAGGCATTCCTGGTTATAAAGCCAGCATTAGAGCCAGGAAAACAGCTTTATGCCTTCCCCCTTATTGATGGTGGGCTTGGCAGGTCATCTCTACACTATCTTTGAAGGACAGGGAGATTGTGCATTGAGGTGCTTCACAACAGCCCAGGTGCTTTGGGGTTAAGTTTAGACTGACATGAGGCCTTGTGTTCAGAAAGACAATCTGAAAAATAAGATGAAGGGCCAGTCTCATAATAGGTGCTCACTATACACTGACTCGACTTAAAACAAATGCCTGAAATGGTTAAAAACAGACTATTAAAGCTGGAATAGGCCCACAAACTTGAAAAATCCCATTTCCTCCTCCTCCCTTTTGCTTTGCCTATGGGTGTGCAATGAGGAAGTGCCTCATCGCCTGACAATGAGACAGATGTGGGACAACAGGCTTTTTCTGCTGGCTTCTGAGTCACTCTAAGATTGTTCTAGTGAATCAGCTTCTCCCTCCTCCACCTCCCTCCCTTAATCCACCACAATCCATTCTACTCCAAATCTGATCTGGTGAGAGCAGTACCTGTGGCCCACTTCCTTTAGCAACAGACAACTCCTCTGACTCCCTGGGTTCTCTTCTGCCCATTCCTGAGCTAGTTGGGAAGGATTCAGCAAGAATGAGATCAACCCTGCCTGTAGGATTCAGATTCCTGAGGGTGTTTAGATTGCTTTCCTTTGAATTTGTCACCCCTGGAGGTAATGGCCAGGCAGAGCTTGTGAACTTCAGCTAATCTTTAGGCTGCAGCAGTATAAATCAATTCTGAAGTCTTGTAATTCTTCAATACTTAAAACATGTAAATAAATTCAGAGTCTTTATGCAGAGAGGTAGAAAGTGGGCTCAAAAGAATATCTTAAATCTTTGTAACATCATATAGTATGTTTATATCTCATTTTATCAACCCATTGGTAAATATTTATTAAATGCCTACTGTATGTCAGGCTATAGCTTTATAAAGAAATGGTAAAAGATTGCAGATTAGATTGAGTTTTCTCCAAATAGGTAAACTTTCTAGGTAGGTGTTCTATAAATGTTTATTGCTGGCTTGGGGAGGCAGTGATGGAGTAAAAGAGTTTAGACTGGAAGTTAAAAAAAAAAAAATTCAGCATCTGGTTCCTGCTCTGTCATAAGCTGTATTCCTTTCCTAGGGCTGTGGTTACAAATTACCACAATGTGGGTGGCTTAGAACAACAGAAATTCATTCTCTTTCTGTCTGGAGGTCAGAGGTTGACAGGTTGTCTCCTCATGCCAGCTCTGAACTTCATCCATTCCATGCTTGTCTCCTTGCTTCTAGGGGCTCCCAAAAGTCCTTGGCACTCCTGGCTATCGTGTCACCCCAATCTCTGCCTCCATCATCACCTGGCCTCCTTCCTCCTTGTCTAGTGTTTCTATATGTCCTGTCCTCTTTCATAAGGACACCAGTCATATTGAATTTATTGGGAGTGTCTTTTTGGGGGGGGCGGGGAGGAACTGGGGCTTGAACTCAGGGCCTCATGCTTCCTAGGCTTGCTAGGCAGGCACTCTTATCACTTGAGCTACTCCGCCAGCCCTTCATGTTGGAGTTAGAGCCAACGATAACCCACTATGATCTCATCTTTTGTTTGGTTTTTGAGACAGGATCTCACTATGTAGCCTATGCTGTCTGGAACTCACTTCGTAGCCCTTGAACTTGTGACCCTGCCTCAGCTTCCCAAGTAGCTGGGTTTATAGATGCACATCACCACACTGGACAGATCTCATCCTAATTCATTACATCTGCAAAGACCCTATTTCCAAATAAGCCCACATACTGGGGTTCTGGGAGATAGGAATTTTATTTTATTTTTTTTTTGGTGGTAGTAGAGTTTGAACTCCAGGCTTCAGCTTGCTAGGCAGGCGCTCTACCACTTTAGCCATTCTGCCAGCCCCTTTTTTGTGTTGGATATTTTTGAGATAGGGTCTACTGAACTATTTGCCTGGGCTGGCTTGGAATGGTGATCATCTCCATCTCTGTCTACTGAGTAGCTAGGATTACAGGCATGAGCCACCAGTGCCTGGCCTGGATATGACTTTTAGGGGACATAACTCATCCCAGTACGCAATCCTACTTGACAAAGCATTCTCCCCATTTTGTTCTAACTTCATTGGTAAATGGCATGAAAGTAAAGGACTGATTCCTAAAGAATTAGTAAGATAGGAAAATGGGAGAAGGCAGTAAATATCTTAAAACTTGATTCATAGGATACTTGGAGCTCAGTATCAATTTTCCTGGAGTGATGTGTGTAGTTTGAACTAGTTTGAACTAGTTTGAACTGGGGGTGTAGCTCAGTGATAGAGTGCTTGCCTAACATGTGCAAGGCTGAATTAGATCTTCAAAACCACATGAAAAACAAAACAAGGGAAAGCAAGAGGGGAGCAAACAGTGGCAATGTAGGGAAAAGGAGAGGTATGGGCAGTGACCTGAACCTCAGTTTCCTCCTTTGTAAAATGATGTAACAGTCTCTGCCCAGAGCACCAGGTGGTTGCGAGTATCCAAGTGCGCTGCTGTACATGGAAGGAGCTGGTCAACTCTACAAGGGATTATTGTAGATCCCTGCTCTCCAACTAAGCATCTGAGGCTTTAGAATAGAGTCCTTGTAGTTCCCACCCAGGGAATATATTGGGATGCTGGGTGAGCTAGATGAAGAAGCGAAGAAGCTGGAGTGAATGGGGAAAGCGGGGTGGTGGGTCTTTCCTCTCCCTCATCCAATCCAGAAGCCAGAGAGGGCTCCCTAGCCGGGATCCAGGCTGAAGCTGAAGGAATGTGTGCTCTTCCCTGCTCCCTGCATTTTCCCTCATCATTTGTCTCCACGAAAGCCTTTCTTAGTAGTCCTTAAATATACTTTTCCTGCTTGGATCTGGGCGGCGGGGGCACCCGAGGAGTTCTGAGATTTTTTTGGGGTGTGTCTCTAACTGCGTTACCGAGCCTATTGCGCTCTCTAGTGTTAAGAGAGGAATATTGCAGCTGTCAGCTTCTCTCCTAGCTAACTTTGAAGACCGACCTCCTTTTATGGATGTGGGTTGAAAGTACAGCAAGGTAGGGGATTCCAAACAGGCAGTTCAAAAAGCCAACCTCAAGGACAGATTTTTGTTTTTGTTTTTAGCTAAATGTCGGGGCAGCTTGGCTATGATAGAGCTGCAAAACCCTTGTCTGGATTGGGGTGTCTCAGAGGAAGAGGGAAAGGAATTGAACAGTGAGTGCCTATGGCTTACCAAACACGGTGCCAGGTGCTTCGCATATATTACACCTGTAATCCTTGTAATCTATATACACATAATCCGTATAACCATCCTGAGAGGTAATGACTATTACTCATAGCTTTTCAAGAGAGAAAGCAAGTTCAGAGAGGCTGAACATCTCGCTAAGCTCCTGACTCTAATACCTCACAGTTCTCATTCCACCATGGCCTTGTGGAGCAGCTGGGTGGTAGAAGTGGGCCAGCCCAGGCCAGTGTGATGGGGGTTCTTTCCATTATTTGAGCTGCCTGCAATCTTTCCTATGGACCAGGAAACCAGGGTCATGTGCCCCTTTGGGTGTCTGCACCTGAGACAGGATGGCGATAAGAAAAACGAGGCAAAAG